AGGAGGTACTCGATGCAGCAATCCAGGTCGCCAGACTCGCGAAAGATGTAGGCGAGAGCCTACCTGTTCTTTCTCCTCTCAGGGGCCCGATGGGCATCCTAATTACGCTGCTCGAAGGCGCCAAGGTCTGCTGATACGTGACGATAACCCGACATATACTAATCTCAGAACCCTAGAAAGCTAAAACAAACGCAGAAGAGTGGACTAGTTTAGCGATGGATATAAAAGATCGCTTGGAGTCCGTTCAAAATGCCGTCAAAGATCAGTCTGCCAGTCCCGACCTTCAAGTCCTGGTTTCCAACTATTCTCAGTAGGTTTTTCACTCACCCCATATTGATACTTCTAAGTGAATTTGACTATTTAGAGAACTTGAACACGTTCTTCGTGGCCTAATCCTCTCAAATAGAAGCCAATCGAGTTCCACCAAGGCGGTCCTAGGAACAATCAAGACAGCTTTAACAGTGGATAATGAAAGGGAAAAGATCAAACACTCCATCGCTCAAATGAACGAGGCCTACAATCGATTCATGGTAACTTTCATCTTTGCGAGTCCAACGCTAGCTGACATTGTGATGACGATAGGTCGGGTTGCAAATACTTATTCGAAAGGGTGTAGAGGAGCTTCAAAATGGACAAACTCATATTCATCAGACGATTCAAGATCATCGAACGGAGCACGCTGAGAGCTACGCTCAAATCCGCGCAGTCTACCAGGAACAACTAGAAGCGAAGAATCAGTTTATCGAAGCAGGTAACTATCCTGTATACATCGCATGTAGAGGTGCTTACGAAAGATATTGTAGAAGAGATTAACCTTATCAAAGGAATGGTGACGGCTCATCTGGCCAACGGAAGCGTACATCAGAAGTGTATGAATGGAACTCGTCATTCATTGTTAGGAGAAATAGATGAATGGCGAGTTAAATCGGACTCAAGTCAGATTCTCTGGCTTTCTGGAGTCGCTGGAGTCGGGAAGTCCACGGTGGCGAGGGAGCTGGTCGATAAATGGAAGCTAGATGGCCACCTCGCGGGGTGCTTCTTCTTTTCGCGGGATACGGAGGAAACCCGTGTCTCAAGACTCTTTTTCACTACCGTTGCTCAACAAGGGCTTTCACGTCTCGATTCCCAAGCCCAGACCGTTGTCGCAGACGGGATCCGCAAACTATTCGATCCACTTTCCGCCACACTAGAAGAGCAATGCACTCATTTGTTTGTAAATCCCATAAAAACAATCCGAGATCCAACTGTTTTAGTTCTGGACGCCATGGACGAGTGTGATCCTGATGCTTGCGAACAACTATTGCGCATCGTTCTTTCAGAATTATCCAATATCCCTCTTCTCAAGCTCCTCATAACCAGTAGGCCAGAGGTTCATATTCAAAGGCAGCTAGAGCTTCACAAGGTTCAAGAGATCTCACTTCGTCTGAACGATGGGTCGAATACCCAAGACGTTGAGACCTATATGAGAAGTCGCTTACAAAAGGTGAACTTCCCAGAGGATCAAGTCCTAAAGCTCGTTGAGCGCGCTGGTGGCTTGTTCATCTGGGCGAAGACTGTATGTGATTTGATTAGAAACCTTAGAGGCGATAGAGACACATTCATCAACCGAGTCCTTGCTCAAAACCTTCGCCAAATAGATCCTATTTACCGCATTGCACTCGAGCAAGCTATTGGAAGAAACGATGAAGAGGAAAATGTCCAAGCATACATGGCCGTTCTAAAGCTCATAACTGCAGCATATGAACCATTGTCGCCCAATACAATTAATCGACTCCTCGGTATACCAAATTCGATGGACATTATCAACGATTTGCGAAGTGTACTGGAATGTCGTGGTCCAGAGGAAGTCGTCCGATTCTTGCATCCGACCTTTCGAGACTTCCTCTGTAACTCCCCAAATATCGACTTATATCGTGTAGATATAAACAAAGCTCATGGATTGATTGGCATCGGATGTCTTAAAATGATTTACGATGAACTCCATTACGACACCTGCAAGCTCTTTGATCATCGTGACAGAGTCCTCAAACCCGAAGCACTGGAAGTTCTTCGTATCCAAAATATCTCCTCGGCTCTGAGGTATAGCTGCAGTTTCTGGGGTATTCATTTGACATCTCAAATGAAGGGAACAGTCCAAAGAGACGAGGTCATTTCACACATCGAGACATTTTTCACGAGAAATCTCCTGGATTGGTTATATATTATTGGTGTACAAGGCTCTATTGATAATGCCTTCAATATGCTTCGTGAGCTTATTGCTACCGGTATTGTAAGTACTGTATTGGGAACCTGTATGAAGTTTTTAATACATTTCAGAATGAAAGTATTGTTAACTGGTCTATGGATGCTACTCGATTTCTTAAACTGCATTGGAACACCATACGACAAAACCCATTCCAAGTCTACCGTGTATTCGCGCTTTGCCCCCTCTCATCCATTTTCCAGCAAGTATATGCTAGATCAATCTTGTTCCCTCATCCCACCATTACCATGGGCACTGAATTAGACTGGCCCTCCACCATGACCGTTCAAACGTATGACATCCAGGCTTCCATTCTCTTACCTTTCGATGATCTCCTGGCGACTGGTGGACAAAGGGAAGACATGCCAGTATTCTCTGTTTGGGATATAAAGACGACAGATGGGGTGACATGCACCCATCCTTGTGGAGCCAAGCATTGTGCTGTCACACATCTATCGTTCATTGACAGCGGTGATACTGTGCTCTTACACACCGGATGCAATTGCGGCAAGTTATGTAAATGGAGAGTGTCAAACTATCACTGCTCATTATTGAGTCAGATAACCTTCGAGTCCGATGGTATCTGTATTGCATGGGCAGATGATGGAACTAAGGCCATTACATTCTGCATGATAGAGCAAACAGGATACAAAAGGAACCAGAGCCGAAAATACTATTGCAATACATATACAGATGATGGTTCATCTACTCGCTGTCAAATATTTGATGGCCAGAAGGAAGGAGAGGAAAAAGGTAATATAACGAGTCGGATCCCGTGGATTCGATTTACGCCATGCTCCGGGAAGAGATTCATTTATTGGACCTCGAATCTATCAGGGAATAAAGTTGCCATCTTTGAGTCTTCCTCGGGTAGACTGATCTCCCAGGAGTCATACCCTCAGAATTTGAAAGAAATGCACTTTTCACCAGATGGAAGGAACATTCTCCTATGGTTCAGTTCCTCTCAGCGGCTCAAACTGGTATCCTCTGAAGATGGTAGTGATCTATGGGACTGGATATTGCAGGATGGATTCATCAAGAAGGTTCAATTCTTCCCAAACACAGCCCAGGTTCTCTTGCTTAGCACTTCTACAACTTACATCGTCGATTCACTGAACGGCTCGACATTATACAGGCGAGATACTAGTGAATCATTGCTTCCATGTTGTTCTGTCATCTCACCAAGTGGCGAGAGAGTTGCCGTTCACTCTAGTGGAAAGGTCGAGATAATGGACCATACACTTGGGGAATATAGGGAAGAACATTCGGCTGAAGAAAGGGGTCACCTCCTGCATTTCTCTTGGGCCCATTCAACTCTAGTATTCATGCAAGATCATTATGATGGTCGGTCTGCCCTCTCCTTCCAACGTTTATCCTCAAGTATGCCGGCCGTGGACACTACAAGCGACCCGAACTCGTGTGTAACGAACGTTTTCCTCTCCCCAAACGGTAAATTTCTCCTGACCGTCCATAATGGCGAATCGTTTTGTCTATGGAATACGGCATTGGGCCTCAAAATACCTATTGTTGGGGATGAAGGCAGTAGAACGTTCCAAAGTCCTCAGATTCAATGGGCGAAAGACTCTTCGGCTGCATTAATCTGGTCTTCAGACCGGTTAGTTCTATTTAGGACAAACACAGGATATATTCAAACTATATTACTACCTACCATCACCCCGTTTGTATCCTCCTCCTCCTCCTCCTCGATCCTGTCACTCTTGGCCTGCTCCTTCTTTTCTACATCGAACCAAATCCTTTCTATCCACTCTGATGGCTCCGTAACCAGACATATGCTTGATGAATCCACCTACCTCTCTATTTGCCGCGTACCTTCCCCACCTGAATCTATTCATGAGCTTTTAGTTTCCCCTCAAGACCAGTCGGTGGCCTTGATCTGCGAACAGAATCTAGGGATCTTAGATCTTGGTGATGGATCCTATATGGATCCGTTGGGTCAGGGTAAATTCCGTGGGGGCGGATTTTCCCCAGACGGTACGCGTTTCTGTGCCCTGGAATCATCAGCCTATCTGAACACCGTATTTATCGTGTGGTGTATCGAAATTCCAAGTCATTCTGTCCGCAAATGTCATATTCAACTGCAGCCTACCTGGCATTGGCCAAAGCTACGATCTGTTACCAACTTGACCTCCGAGAATAGATCGATATTGGGCACTTTGACCTCACAAAGTCTAAACAAAGGGCTCACATCT